CTTATATCCCCACCCCGCTTATATCCCCACTTTTGGGCTGAACGAAAGGGGGGATATAAACGGGGTATGAGTGTATTTACAACACCATTTGTTCTATAATTCCCCCCATCGGATCATGCCGATCATTTATGAAGCTGCCCGAATATCTGATTATGCAATGTTAGTTTAATCTTTGCTTTAACATGAATACTCACGAGAAATTAAATCGGTTTCTCACTCAATCACCCATTCGCTTCATTGTTTAGAACAGATAATTGGGTGTAGCGTATTAAACCATACGAACTCAAGGTCAACAACCTTATAATCATGTTAGCAGTTGACCGCAGTTGTGCTTGTAACAAGGTTGTGCTTAATAATGGTGTTTTAAATACAAATTTCTAAAACGAATGAAACATAATAAATAAATATATATGAAACGAGCATATAGTAACAGAATGGCTACGTGAGGCAAAGTAAATTTTAACCCAAAATTGCCTGCTTGTAGCAACCAGCGTAGTCAAAAATGATTATAAATACAGTATATATACACTATCTATCGTATAACACACGCAGCCCAATACCTTTCTTTTAGTATTAGTGAGAAGTCAGTCCTCTAACATTAGCACTTATAAACAACTTTCAATTTGCATTACCTTTCGGCAAGTGGTCACATTCTCGGCCCGCGCGATGTCCGGATCGATTTTTAATTTCAATCATGTGGCCAAATGGGTTATCCGCGATCTTTAATTTAGATTTAACACCCACCACATATTACTATTACGGGCAATGTATGCTGCTGCATGGACGAAATTGGTTCTTATCGCGCGACGTGACGTTATGAACAAGTGTTTGGTTGACATGACAATCTAATTGGCTATGATATTCTGCTATAGCTAGGCATCAGGGAAGTAATTCACTTACCTACTTAAATAATCGCTGCTAACTAGACGTGTGAAGTTATGCAAGATACTTGAAAACAATCCTCTGCTCATTAATGCTAGAATGTTAGTGACAGTGAGCTTGTTGATTATTTTAAAAGCAACCTATATACAGGTTAACGTGTTATAATTAGTATAGTTTCCTGACTTGCGCGTATTAATTTTTTAATCATCTATAATTCTAACTAACGCAGATTTTTTCAATAAAATGGTTAATGTAAATTTAGTCATTTACTGTTGCTCTTAACGGAGGCTCACTTCTACAGTCTAAATGCAGCGTGCTTCCCCGGATGGGTCAGCCGGTAACGTGGGCTCATAAATTTGCCTTCTACATTAGAGGGCTAATAGCTTTTCCGAGGCAACACGTTGTGGACGCTTTGACCGCCAGTCTCGTGTTCCCATATTAATCCGGGTAACAAACTCTTGTACGAGTTGCGAGTAAATATGCTTCCCGTAGTGTGGTCTTAGGTTAGTTGACCCCTCTATGTAATCTAAACTACTCTAGAGAATTATCTAATAATTAGTATTAGCAGAACGATATATGAAGGAAAACTGATCAGAAAAATTGTTATGGTCAATTGTATTAGTGTGAACACGGATTTTTATTTTCTCTGTTCACCCTGTGAACATATTATATAATATGTGACCACATTATTAATAATGATAAGAAAAACCTGCCACCCTTAAAGAATTCTCCCAGCAAACACAAAAGCAAGATGCTCGTTTCAGGTTTATGAAATAACCAGAGGATTCCCACATTCACATACACGAAACGCTCCTTTTTCGGGGGTGTGAGACAATAATCACAATAACCCCTAAAAAAGATTCTTGTGGTCGGGGTAAAATAATCGTATGATTGTCCATGTGGCCATGCATAGTTTCTCCCAAGATGGTGTGAACAAAACGTCTCGGCACGCAAAAGTCTGCAGCACGTACATACGCAAAGTCTCGGTACGCATTTGAACACGACAAATGACGAAAGTCATCCATTGTTAAAGAGGTATGTTCGTTCATGCAGTCATTAAACATCCATCATCCATCGTTACGATGTACTAGCAATAGAATATTGCCCTTTTATTTCTCTTTCCTAATCATGGGAAAGCTTGTTCCTGTGAATTACAAGACAATGGTGGGAATGGGTAGTATTGTTTAACGTGCATTTGTATGGTTGAAATTAAAAATCTTGCATCTGCTTTTCTGTATCAAACAAACCTAGCAGGTCAAGTGTTGAAGGATTATTATTATCCCTGTACATGTAACAGAAAATAAAACACAAAAATATACAATCTATATATGTAAACTTGTTCGGTAAGCAAATTCTTTCTAATACGCTATTATATTCTCTCTAAATTAGTTTTCCATCAGACTAGATTTCTCCTCTCGGCCCCGGGGTAATTACAATTATTATCGTCCGCTTTCCCCCCTCAACTCTTGCCTTCTTTTTCGCTCCCCCTTTTGCGATTACACCTCCAATGCTATTGGCTCCTCGGCTATGGCTTTCTCGTAATCCGGTGGTGCATCATCATCCCCCATCATTCCATCTTCCAACATTCCATCATCCATCCTTCCATCACCCAGCACCAAATGTGCCATCCTCTGGTAAACAGGATCGCGAGGACAATAACAACTGTCTTCCTCGTAATTAGGTAAAGCAATATCATGGTCGTCCGTGCATTTACACGATAACAATTTCACATTCAGGTTAACTTTGATTTGCATCTTGTGCGCTGCCAATATTGGCGTAGATACGATAAAGACTACTTTCATCTGATGAGTGATTGTTAATACGGACGTATCGCACGATGGGTGTATGTGAGACGAGCATTTCGGAAGAGTGAGGGGTAGTGTGCGTTCGTAGAAAAAGTTGTCAATGCTGTCTTCGGACAGAATCGTTTTGTCAAAGGTTGGTAGCGCCTCTGATACTACTATACGAGATGTTGAGAAATCGCGCCCCTTTATGTGGTACACGCATTTCTCGTGTACTTCGACTTTGATACCATGAAGTATAAAGTGCTTGCTTAGTGGTGATACCTTTACATCTAACGGTACGGTTTGTGCAATAGGGTATGCCAGCTTGGGAAGTGATATTTCGTATGCAAAGCTGTCTGTGATCTCTCGAGCCGTCGCGATGCCTTGTGAATTCAAATGATCTGGTATTGTTCTCACAATCTCGATGCGTTTCTTTATCTTTCGGCGAGGAAATATGCCATTCGTCATCAACTTTCCTTCTAACGTATACTCGACATTGACGTGTTCGGTTTGAATTGTTTCGGGCAAATCCCCGGGTAAAAGTAATTCGAATGGATATGTATGTTTTCCGGCGGGTAAGAGGCGAGATTGTATCGATTTTGGATTTGATTTACGAAGGAGATGGAATCGTGTGGCGGAGGCGGTTAGTTTTGTGGGGACGGGGTCGAGAAAGGTCCATGTATGAGAGATTACTTCGCGCTCCTCGCGTATAGTGCCATTTCTTATCGGACAGGTGCCTGCATTTGATTAATGTATTTAAAAGAGTTAGAGTATAAAAAGACGGAGGGTAGATTCGAATACGAGATGTGAGAAAGGGGAGGGGGGGAGGAGGGGGGGGGGGGGGAGCAATTCGCAATGAAGAAAAGTTTCCGTAATAATGCAAAACGATTATTGTGGTAGTAGAAAGTATGTTGTTTTTTTTCTTTATTAATCATGAATTTGATTTTACAAGTTTTTTTTTTTATCGTTATTATCTCAAACCGCTACCTTCAGAAAAGCCTATTTTCTCTCTTCCCATAAATTTCAATTCGATACATTTTACTTTTGTGGGTTTCTGTAAATGTATTATCAGATCACCACGCAAGAAACATCCTATTGCTTCCCGTGGTCCTCCTCTGAAGGAAATTACTGGTTCAACCAACTGTATGTCTAGTTTTGACATTGCGTAAAGATGTGACGAGGCAAGAGTGAGAAAAGTCGGGAAAGGTTTTCTAATTGAGAGTGGAACAAGTGTTTTATATATAGATGGCTGTATGTATATGTATATGTATATGTATATATATAATATGTATATTTCAAACTACGCGCTAACCCCTTCTTTTTATTTTGTTTCCATTAGTTACACCAACATTCGGTTTGGATGAGTAATACTGATGAAACTTGTGACTGTTCTGCTGCAACTATATTTGGGACGATCATTTATATTTCTGATGTTTCCAGAATGGCAATTAGTATAACCGGCCGCATTTCATTCATTATGCAATGTTTAACAATATACAGTATGTGGTTCTTGTATGACTCTTTATTTCAACCACATACAAGTGGACAAACTCTTTTTGCTGAATGACGACATATAAGGATATCGAAAAGTTTTTATATAAAACACTAAACGAGGCGAACAAACATAAGCGACTGTGCACTTTTTGATAACGTTCCCACGGGACATCTCAACTTTTCCCACAATGATTCCTACTTCGGATAAATTATATCACACGGACCGTGTGTAATATATGAAAATATCATTATCATTATTAGCTGAATGATAACGGGAGTGTCAAAGACAATTAAGCGGTAAAGATATACGAGGACATTCATGGTTAGTTTAATTATATTTTCCTTCTCGGCTACGTTATCCGAATCTTCCTTTCCTGGTTATAAATGATGCAGTCACACCAAAAGATGCAGAGTGTTTGCCACACAACTTGACCAATCCAAACAACAGATAGGGGCAACAATGGAATCAAATAATGACTTTATTCATGCAAAATTGTTGTAATAATCAGCTTGTTATTGGCTGTTATTGGTGTACGGTATATCGGACCCGATGGTGCTGCGGAAGGGTCCAATTACTTCAAAGATGGCAAAGATGGAAAAAAGAATGTGTATTGGACCTCCCCTCCCTCCCTTCGTCAAAGATTATTCGTCTTGTCTAGTCGCTTTTACAGCATGCCCCTTCCCCCCCTATTTGATATGGCCCGGCGTAACAAGTTCATTTCGTACATGCGCATGCATGTAACTCCCTTGCGGTTTAGACAAAGTAATCAGAGTTGATTGCGCCTCTGTTGTATATCGATGCGCCACAGACGAATGAACAACTATATCCCACAAGAAGCCGCTACTGTTATATCAAACATACAACTGCAAATGCTCACGTGCAGCGTCTCAGGAGACGTTTCAGCACTTGCCAGTCGTAAAATTTGATAGATACGATTATACAAGTTCGTAACGCATATAATATTAAGAAGCGGTTTGCTAACTATCTGATGTAATGTTCTACGTTGATAAACTACAAACCGACCCACAATGCCGGAAACTACATCCGCAAATTTCCTCATGTAAAATTAAGTGTCAGATTAATATTAAAAAAAAAAAAAAAAAAAGCACGTTGTAGGACGGTATTTAGATATTAGCATCATATTGGTTGCATCTATGATTAAACACTAAAAATGTTTCTTTACTAAATGAATGTACTTATCTGTGATAAATAAGAGAATGTTGTTGAAGACATTGTATTATACGCATGAATACGTGACTTTCAGATATGCGTGAGGACGTGAATGCTTGCATATCGCTTCTATTATTAATCAACCCTGGATTATACCCTGTCACATGTTTATTGATGATCTCGCGCGACATGACGAAATAGTAATTACAATAGGAACAGTGATTATTAATTGCACATCATTATTTACTCATTGTTAATATTGCTATGTTGATGTTGTTATCTCTACTACTACTATCATTGCGTGATCCGAAGAACCTTCTTATCAAGAAGAGTATAGAAGAAGAATGTGCAAATGACACAAGTGGCGTCCGTTAATGATGCATCGTAATCTGCAAATGACGAATTTTGTATTTATATTAATATTAATATTTTAAGCCGAATGGGTTAATTATTGTCCTGCACATGATGGGGCATGTTGCAACAGTGAACATGGCACCGCAGTTACAATCATGTTGCGGTCCTCTTTTTTTTCCTATCGTTTTTTATTACTTGCAATTCTTGAAGCAAAGTGAAAATATGAAATTCTTAACAAAAGCCTGTTATTGTTTTACAGTTTTGCTTAGCTAGTCTTTGTCCTTTAGTTGGTGCAATAAAATTTCATTAGAAACTTCGGAAAATATTCCCTCCGCAGCGACCTCTGGTGTGCTAATAATAGGATTGATCACAGAAACAAAAATATTGTTCTCTATTTAGACTTACGCGCGTTAATATGATGCAAAAGGTAGTCTAGAATGTGCCGTCATCTGTAAACAGTTGGATGTTGGGGAACATAATATACAGGATCTAATTCTTATGTTCTAACGATCGATGGTTACATAACAGACAAATATACAATCGAGCATATTGCTAACTGAGCCAAAGTGAAATCTGGCTAATCTATTAAATTAAGGGTTTCTCCGTTTTATGCTTACTATTAGTTGCTTTATCTCTGCTATTGTATGGCAAGATAGGCTGGCTAGTAAATATACCGAAAGAATCACTCCTGTAATAAATCAAGCCCAATTTAGGACCAGCGCCGGCAAGAGCGTATTACTAATATACGTGAGCTGGCAACCTTAATAAAACGAAGAATAGGGTTAATTTATCAGTGAGAAAAAGGTTCTACTATTAATTCACAAGTTGCCTATCATTGCTTTCTCAAATATTAATATACTAGTATAGTATTTCGCTGCTGCCTTTTCTTCAATTTATAGCGGATAGTTCAACAATAATATTTTCTTGAACTAATTTGCGATGGCTGTGCTGTGAACGTAATTTCTATATATCTACTGTACCACCATAAACTTTGTGCATCAATTACGCAAGCTGGTTACCATTAAAACGAACATCTTTATTGATAAGATTAATCGTTATCGTATGACATTAGTTTACTATACAAAATAACTTAAAAAACTAGGAATAATAACAACAAACATGACTTCCTCTGCAAAAACAGCCGAAGGAGATGCTGATATTCAATACCATCTTGGTCAGTGCTATCATTATGGAACTGGAGTAGAAAAAGATGAACAAAAGGCAGTTGAATGGTATCAAAAAGCAGCTGAACAAGGAAATACCCAAGCACAATGTAATCTTGGTGTGTGTTATCAGCATGGAACTGGAGTAGAAAAAGATGAACAAAAGGCAGTTGAATTGTATCAAAAAGCAGCTGAACAAGGAAAT